TCCAGCACACGCCAACGGTAAATGACACAGGGCGACCGTCTATTTCGGGAAACAGATTCCGGGCGGGAAATGTAAAGTCACAGGGGAAAGAAGGGGGACGAGACAGGGAGAGAGAGAACCCACGACGAATTCTCCACAGGGTGGGGTCGGCTTCTTGCGCGGGAGTGACATTCACCAAGTCCCACCGGCACCCGTCTCATCGAGACGTCACCCCCCCCCGCGCGACCACATCAAGAGGAAGCTTTAGTCTCGGGTCAGCATTGTACACAGGCTAGGACAGCCGACGCGGTAGCTTTCAATCAGGGAGGGGAAGGGAGCCGACATAACCAGGAACAACCCAATTGAGGCTGAGCAAAAGTATGCTGAGATATCCAAGTCAGTAGGGGAGGCGAGAGACGCAGCAGTTTGAACCGGGGGAGAGGGGAGAGCCTCGGGCGGTGGCGATGTGGCAGCCACAATAATGCCGATTTAAACCACGGGAACTTTAATCGAACTGAGTCATAACATGCAGGAACCAGTTCTCTCTTGATGCGAGCATAAAACACCACCTGAGCTTTCGGAGCTCAAATAAAAAGGATTGGTACGGTCGGGGAGGGGTAGTGATTTAAATCACGGGGACTGATACAACTTATCTAGGTCATCACTTTGTAGCGAGTCATAAAATAGGTCGCCATTCTGTCAACAACATAATTTACATATTTCAACTACAATTATAACTACTTTAATTATGTGCAACTTGTAAAAGACTGTGAGGTTACATATCTCCGAACCGTTTTAGCGAAAAAGTCATGAAAATATCATACCTAATTGAACCAAAGAAGCTGAAACACGCAGAGTTAGGCTTTCGTACTGGTACGGTTGTTCTGAACACGATGGGTTTGTAAACCGAACCAGTGCAGACATAATGTTTTTCATTGCTGTCTGACATAAATATATGTTGCTTGTTTACACCGTGGTGCGCATTTTAGCCCTACATTATGTTTTATATACGAAGAGTTTCGGGTAGCATTCTAAACATGCTCCAAGGAAACAGCCGCTCGTTATCTATGTTTTTGCAGGAGTCATTTGACCAGTGATAATGTGGACAACACGTCCTACATTTGCGGAAGTTCCGAGATGACCTACTGATGGTGTCACTCACGGTTGATGTGTCACCTATGCGAGGGGGAACCCAAGCCTGTCAGTTCGGTGAGCGTTGAATGCGACCCGGCCATAGGTTACGCCAGCTGTCGAGCATACGTACACGTATTGGCGGCCATGTTGTATGAGTCCTTGATTTTCTGGCATATCAAGGTATTAGGTCCAAGTGTAAAAAGACGAAATGTCACCTTTACGACTTGAGCAAAGTTTCAAACCAGAGCCTTTAAAGTGATTTTAATCAAGAAAACGTCATCTTTCAAACCGTCGTTATGTATTGAACGTGCAATGAACAATCTGCTTCCCGATAGCCAGACGGTTCCTCCGGGTGAACTCAGGCTCTGCCCGAAATGAAGGTTCAGTCATGGCGTCCAGGACAGCCTTTGAAAAGAGAACAGTCTGGAGGTTCATCACGCAATCAAGGACACACAAAGCTTCAGGGAGTGTTTGACCTAGACACGAAAAATGCCTTTTGTAACATGGGTTCTTTGATCGTTTTTTTTTTCTTTCTCTTTTTTTTTCTCTTTTCCAAAACGACCTACACAAAAAGATTGAACTAATCAATCTCTTTTCAATAAAATTTTGTCAAGAATGGATATTCGGTAGCATAGACATCCATTTGCCGAGGAGAGCGTGTTAGAGAATGAAAAGCGATGGGGGGGAAGAAACGATCATATGGCGCCGGCCACGAAAAGCGTGTGAAAGCCAGTATTATTCGGGGTTGATGTGGGTCAGGGCCGCTACAACTTGATATACTTTTTCCACCCAGTTTATGAATGATGGATGGATTTGTGGCTGGGACACGATCAGACAACTGCGATTATATCGCATTGTGGCCTCTGCTCGTAACAATAGATTATGGTGTCTATTTGAAGGAGAGGAGAGGGGAAAGAAAGGTTTCCACCATTCCAACCAACTTCAGAAAGTACAATAACAGCGCATGTAAACGGTTGGAGTGGTGGAGGGGGTTTCCTGAACACAAAGCTTTTCTCTTCGGGAGTTGACAATATTTCGTATGTGGTGACTGTTGGTCTCTTTACTCCACTTCGATTAAAAAAAAAAAGAAAGAGAGACAAACTGATTCTTGCCGTAGCGACCCGTTTCTGTTGAGTTAGTACCGTGGTGGGACCATGGTGCTAAGGCACAACACACTCGCCAGGCCGCTGTCTCATCTCAAGCCGGGTGCTTTCTGAATGCAGCCAACTGTTGATTTTGTAACTGTAAAGTTAAAGCAAGCGTGACGGAACCTAAAGAGGCGGGCGTGGGTCTAGAAAGCCGCAGCCCAGATTATAAATGCAGGCAGAACACAGGCACTTTCGAGCACGAACACACTGTAGACTAAAGAGAGAGAGAGAAAGAGAGAGAGAGAGAGACCTTAAAATTAAAAGAAATTTACGAGGAGGCTTCGCACTTTTTTTAGAGACCAATTATCCCTGAATGGATGGGTGCTTTCATTGCGCTCAGTAAGCGACCCGTCGGGTGCAGATGTCTCTGTTTGTGGCGGTAGACGCACCGGGATTGGAAGTCACTCGCTGATCTTCATGTGCAGGTCCTACTTGTGGTGCAGGAGCATCACGGTGAATGACAGTCACATGTTGAACGTCATTGTGGGGCCTTTGTGACAAAGCGACTAGATCCCGTTGGGATTTGCACAAAGAAATCTGTGACACAGTTGGAAGCGTACTCTGCCGTGGAAAAAGGTCGGCTTTGGGTGTCGACGGCCAAGATGGCGGGCATCAGTGTCACAGACCAGGACTGGAGTGAGATGTATTTCACGATGCAACGCTGGTCGAGCCAGATCGATCCTTGTCACCAAATTCAGCAACTCCAAGAAGATTCTCCTCTGTTGACTTTATAGACCTTTGCAAATACAAGGCAAGACGACCGAGAGACTCGCTCGTACGTGTCACCTCTCCGTGTTCTCCTGGCACTCAACACCAAAAACCGATATGGCTGTTTGCTGTAGTCTCCGCGTTCGTGGCGGTCTTTTTAAACCCGGATAATTGCCCGACGCACTGGCTGAACGCGAAAAAAAGTCAAATATTGATGGTGTTAACACGAGTGAAGGCTACATAGTATAATGGAGACTGACTGAGTCCCGGCTGTCAGACAGGAGACGAGAGGTACCAGACACGTGCGTCGGACGAAAATAATCTGACTTGTTGACTTTTATTTGGTAGAAATTGGGCCTCTGGCAATACATCCTGAGGGAGGAACGAAACAGAGAGCAGAAAGATTCCGAAACATGCTCACTAAGAGCCGTGGAATTCAAGACAATTAACTTAATTCTGACCCTGTTCTAGCCCCTTTGGTGCTTGACTTATGAGCAAACCTCAATCGCAGGTGTCAAGAAGACCACCATCAATTTTGGCAGCACCACAGGTAGCCGCCAGCAGGTGGGTACGATACATAGCACGCTTTCGGTAACACCACCAAACCGCCCTACCAAAAAACGACAGATAACTTGACGGGGCAGACGGACAACGTAAACAGGGGCCACAGCAGGGCGTCGTAACGGGCATCTGCCTATCGCAACGTCTGGCCTCCAAGCTATATATGCACGGCCGTTGGCTCATTAGCATGGCCAACCCCCTCCCCCAAAGTTTATCTTACCGACAGGGGGCGGTGTTAGGCCTCCTGAAGACCCATGGTCGCATTTCTTTTCACGCTTCCCTCAATCAGGGGCCGAAAGCATAAGGCAAAATCATTACAATATGACAAGGATGTTATTTGAAAGATCTTAATGAATTGTGAAAAAGTCCCACACCCAAGGCAGCGCTGGAGACGGCTTGTAACTCAAGACACATTTATCATGCCATCTACCTCGGTGTCGGATCCGAAAAGGCAGAAACTAAAGGACGCATTTTTTTCTTATCTCTCCAGAAAAACAGGGAATAAAATTACCGCCAGATGTTCAAACATCGAGCGGCAAGTTCCCCTCCCTGGCCATCCGTCATCAGCTAAGATATCAGAACAGAGATAAGACTCTAAGTTCGATGACAATGCCAGAGGAGATGGCACAAAAGCCGTTTCTATCAACCCAATGCTGTACAAGTAAATTAAAACTTCATGTATGAAAAGACTTCGTATTAGAAGAAAAAAACGGTGAAGGAGTGGAAAATAAAAAAAAAGACAAGGGACGGAAGACAGAAGCCACAAAGCTGCACATTAACACTGCGGGATGCCCATAGAAGAATGGCTCGAAATGCACATCAGAAAGTGTGGAATCAACACCAAGGAGTTAACAACGTGGATGTATCAGATTGCATACGGGACGTTACAAAAACAGTGATGCAAACCTTACAGCACCATAATCGTATCGAACACATCCTACTATTCCAAAGAGTCCCAATCATTTGATAGGGTACCTGTCGTTTCTAAAATCACGAGATCAGTTCTTTGGACTTTCTTAATCACTCATTTAAATACTACTGATGATTCAGCTTATATAAAATAATGTCATGTTGAAAGTCAGCTATAATTTCTATGGCTATTATAAGATACATGTAGTTAATCAAATTGATCATACTTCAGTGTAAATCATCTTTTCCTGTTATACTTTAATTGCGCTGCACAAAGTGGAGTGTTTTTGTGCGTTCACAAATCAAAAATCATTGCGGTTTCAGTCAGATTTTGTAACTTATAAGACGACTGGCAGTGTGCCATTGCAAAGGTGAAGCACATAGATCTTTAGCCCAAGCCTACAGAGGCTTTTATCTGGTGTCCTCTAGTACAGTTTCGTCACATGACATGATGCATGATTGTAATCGAACCTGACTTCACAATGAAAGATGTATTTCCACAAAGAGTGACCTACTGTACCCATCTACCGATGCTAAGTCTGCAGAGATATTCGAACTTACCTCCTGAGCACACCTCCAAGAAGCGAAGCGTTGAGACACTCGGGCGGCGACAGCCGCCGCTGAACCTCGGCGACTGTGACTTTGTACTTGGAGGTAGAGGAAAGAAGCGAGAGGCGGCCGGGCACGGTACAGAACACGTCGTTCGGGGAGGTGACATTGGACACCAGACCGTCCTTGCCATTTTCGTTCTTCTGTCGAATGCCTGCTGGAAAGAAAACAAGTCGAAAAGTGGATTCGGTTCAAGGCACAGCTGCCACTTTTTTCAAGAATCACTGGCACAGCTCTGTTCAAAGATTGTCCAAAACTAGTGCCAATAACAGCTCCACACACGTTGAGAAAAGGCTTGTTCTTTATATCACGGTGGATAAAAAGTAGCAAAACAAAACGACCGAAGACAGTCTGACCCGTGCTTGTACCAGATTTCTAAAAGCGAGAGTATAAGTCTGCACGACTCATGTAAGTCGGCAAGCATCTCATGCATAGCGACCTCATCGACAGAAAGGAGCACTGGCACCTTGCGTCGTCGAGAGGCAAACACGGTGTCGAAAGATATTGTTTTGAGAAAGAGAAATATCAGTTGGTCCAAAGCTCTCGGTAACGGGCGTGTTGCGAAGCCAGTCTTGGAATGCTCATTGCTCCGGGAAAGTCGGTACATCTTGATGGCGGTAATGTAGGAGTTTGCCAAAAACGCCTCACTGATCTGGCAAATTATATTTACCAAATATCTTTGACGAAAAGGCAGACCTGTGACCGAAACCACTGCTACGTGTATCTTGGTGCTCCATGACAACTCGGCTATCGTTTACAAGAACGCCATCGCGACATCGTCAAATCCACGAAAAAAAAAACCAAAGGCGAGCTGGGCTTGCGCCCAATGACAAGTACATGTAATTAACACTCTACGTTCAGTTGCTTCGCTTTCCCACTGTGGCCGCAAAAGCGCCTCGACCAACACACTTGTGATGTCAGCTGTGGACAGCGTCGGACATCAAATCCCGCGAACACCCCACGGATTTATTAATAACTCGCTACGGAGGCTAATAGGCGGCACTTCGCACGATGCATTGTTTTGTTTCGAGAGGTTTTTTTTTTTTTTTGGCGCAGCATACATGCACGAGTCCAAGCTATCTTACTGCCAGCGTGACCAAACTCGAACATACACGGGGTATCTTATCGCGGCGCCCCGGCTGCACCATTCTAGCCAGCGGCGCTAATGATTCGTCCCTCTCCCGTACTTCTTGTCACTTGAGTTATTACCTTCAATGCTGCCGGGTTCCTGGCGATTGTTATTAACGATAAAGTGATAGCGTTGGCTAAAGCCGCCACGACTGTGGCTCTCCCCATAAAATGTGCCATTGCAAGGATATTCTTTTCACCGGCTAGCGATCTGTTTGCACGGCCAGGGACTTGCACCTCGGGGAGGACTCGGCGGAGTAGAGAACACAGCAAAACAAGAGCGCAACAAAGACGGGAAGTGAGGGGCTTTCATAAATATATTCGGTGGGGAAGCCGGTCGTTGGATCGCCCAAGTCTCCCCTATTCTCCCTCTTTATTTGCCCACATTGGTGAACTTTGCAAGGGCAATTGTTCAGTTAAGCCTTCCTTTAGGCTACAGGTGTGTAGTGCAGTTGCCATGTGAGTGTGTGGCGGGTACAGGCACGGCTAACCAACTCTAGCTAACCTCGAGCGACTCGGTCTATATCACGTCCTCTTCATTACAGGCCGACCATTGCTTCTTGTTCCAGGCCTAAATATACCTAGCAGGCTCGGAGCAGCGAGAGAGAGCGAGAGAGAGAGAAAGTTCAGCGGAGATTGGCCGCGAAAACCAGCCGGCGCGGAAGACGTTGAACCCGGGCGAACAACAGCGCCGGGCAGGTGACTCGCAAGTCTTTAACCCAATTCAAACATGCGCCGCTACGCCGTAGGGACGGGCGCTGAAACCCTACCTCCCCAAATCCGACGATGGACACGAAATCCAGCGTGCCTAATGCCGTGTTTGACCCCCCGTCCCAGCCGAGGCAGTGAACTCCCCCTCCACGAGTGGAGGGGTAAAGAAAACGACTGAAGCAGAAGACTACACAATAGGAGGCATGTGCTTCCGATCCGACCTCAAGCCTGCCATTCAGTGCTTTTCAATTTCTTTTCACTGCCCTCTTCCTGACACCTAATAAGGATACATTACAATATCAGGCCATCAAAGAGCCTTGCCGACATTTTGCAGGGCCACATCTCGAGATGGATTATTAACCCACATACTAGATCGCTAGGAAACGAGGTGGACTCGTCAGTGACGAAACAAAACACAGCCTCATGTGCTATGTAATGTAGCCAAAGGAAACACCTCAGCCTTATTCCCAGGGTATCGGGGGGGGAGGCAAACAGGAGCCCCGGACAGGCGATCCATCTAGGTTTCTAATTATTAATATATGCCTGACACACAAGGAAGTTGGGTGTTAATAATAATGGCAGAACGTGTCAAAACTACAAAATGGCCAGCGAGAAAAGCCCGGATACCATGTCAGAACCAATTACGTGTCTCGATCACGTCGGTTGAGGGTTGAGATCTTCATAATACATTGCTAATGCGATGCTGGCGCTGGCTATTTTGGCGTGGTATACAATTTCGCAATCGAATCGAAAGCACCTTTTTTTTTTTAGTTCCCCGTTATGAAATATTAATTCCATAGCAAGAAATACCTTAATGCTTAAGGCCACTATAATAACAAGAGCTGTGTGTGCACTGTTTGTGGTGATGAAAAAAAAGCATATTAGATAATGATGCGGACCTTTTTCAATTCAATTGACTGGTAACTGAACATAAACTTAACATTTCTTCTTGCTGTGTCAAACACACAAAAAAAAGAGAGAAAAAGGTCCAAATCATAAAAAAAAAGTCTCCATCACCACCATTTTGACTTTTCAGGAAGGACATAAAGAAGTTGAATCGAGGCGGTGAACTTTGACCAAGACACAGCCAGCCAGCCAGGCGCGATCGCCTTGTTCACCGCTTGGTGCCGGGGTGCACCCCCCCTTCCCTCCCGACCACCTCCCGCTCTTTCTCAATTACGGCAAATTTGATACGGTGAGCAAACTTCGAGCCATCACTGATGGTCGCCTGCACCCGTACCTTGCGCGAGCGGCCACGGTCGGACTATTCGCTGTCGAGGAGCCCGAGGAAGAGAGAAAGGAGAAAGAGCGAATGGGGGGGGTGTCAATCGGCGCAGGCAGGCAGGCAGGCAGGCAATAATCTAAACTGACTACACACCAATCAATGGCGGGCAAATTTGGTCCAGGGAGCGACTTGCAAGTTTGCTCTAGCACCCCCCCCCTCGAATGGAAATGGACGAGGGCTCCCAAGCGGCCCACGGTATACGGGGACGAACCAGCGCGCCTGGCCGAGACGAGGAACGGCGGGAGTTGATGATATTACGAGTAACGGGCCACTATTTGCAGTCAATTTATAACGTGTTTTGAGTGAGTGAATCTTGATGCTGGCACGTACATCGGCACAATAGTGTATCGGACTGGGGAGGTTAGACGTGTACAACTCCGGGGTTATCCCTTGATCGAAACACTATTAATGAGATAGTAGGTGGCACTGCACTTATGAATAACCCATCAAGACTTTGTCAGTTCGGGAGCGCAAACCGGTATATCAACACTGGAGACGCGAAGAAACTGGTACAGTAAGGTCGTCCTGTGTCATTTGTACGTACATTCACATGTACATTTAGAACCGTCCTTTCTGACCGCCGATTAAATATTTCTACGCTGTGGATGACCTTAGGAGGTCACGCTGCGACGGAAGTAGTCACCACCGACGGGTGGGCACCAGCGATGACCACCAAAGGCCAATGGGTAAAACAGAAAAGGTGCCATTTGAGGTGAAGAAGCACATTTCTGGGTGCTTGGCTTATGTCAGGTTGCACTTGAAATGACACCTGCCAACAGCCTTAGAGGAAAATGTGAATTACCACTGCGGGTTACGCGGGCTAACCCTAACCCTGTGTAACATCTTGATACATCTGCTGGCTTATGGTTGAAAAAAATGACAACTCGCAAACTGTTCCAGCTACAACAAAGGGATAAAGTTCCCTGCAGGCTTCTGTCCACACTGATGAACCTGAATTGAAGTTAATGGTTTGCGGTTATTTATAAGGAATGATTTTCAGTAAAATGCTGCAACCACGAGGTGAAGAAATCGGACGCCCGCCCCATTCAGACCTGCGGGTGATTGTGTTTTTCTTTCAGCATCTTCCCCAGTTTTTCAAGTAATACAATTTAATTTTCCCGTGACAAACACCGTTCGAATGATTGAATTATTTTCTTTCCAGAGAAGAGCTACAAGGAACACAGACGCTTCGGTGGCCTCTGCAGTGCTGAATGGGCGATTCGCATCCATGTGTATACGCCCCCTTAACCAATAGACGCAAATTGGCAAGAGGGCTTTTTTTTTCGCAAATCGTAATTACGGCACACAAGCTCAACCTAAACGGTGGAAAAATCGCAAGGAGAAATTATAAAAACACGGAGTCTGCTCCCTTGTGGACGGGCTGGACCAGGGTAAAAAAAAGTGGTTGCCCGGCCGTGCAGGCTTTGCACACGACGGGGAGAGTTCCGCACAGTGATTGCACACGCTTCATATGCGATCAAACATCACAACAACTAATGGTTTGGAACCTCGGGGGTCCCCCGCGTGAAAAATTTATCGCCAGTCGAGCGGAAGTTTCTTTTAAAAAAATCAAAATGGGGGAGGACGAGTGGAGGAGACTTAAGTAAGGGTAAAGAGAGGAGAATATAAAAAAAAAGCGCCGAGGAAATCAGGCAATATGAAATAGGGCGTGTGGAATCTTTCTGGCATATCAATAAAATAATTACTGAGGAGTGTTTGTTGAAGGGATGCAGCAAGGGTTTGTGGGTAGCCGGCGCATATAAAAAAAAACCGCGGCCGTATATGGCCGCAGCGGCGGGTTTTAATAGACGCTTTCGCCGCGTTAGTGCGAGCGGGGGTCTGTGAACTTGTGTGTGTGTTTGCAACGAGGCGATCTGGCAAAAGAGACAGGAACTAGGCCACGGGGCCCGCTTGATTCTTAATGCGGGGTGGCAATAAATATAATTCTGCATTGACCCGAGCTGGGGACGGGCCGGGGCCTGGCATTGTTTGGGTAAGCTTGGAGCAAGTGAGGTTAGCGACCGACCTCAAAA